CCAAAATGTCTATTATCGGGAAAATAGGTGTAAACCACAGCATACGCGTTTTCCATATCTGGAAAACATGCAGGAAACTACAGGTTGATTGCTTCCATATCGGGAATATACGTGGAAACCACTACTGCATGTTTCCGCGGTTTCCCATATTGGGAAACTTACGGGAAACCACAGGTTGATTGTTTCTATATCGGAAATCTACGTGGAAACCACTACTGCATGTTTCCACGGTTTCCCATATTGGGAAACTTATGGGAAACCACAGGTTGATTGTTTCCATATCGGGAATCTACGTGGAAACCACTATGTGGTTTCCATAAAATGGAAACTATATGGAAACTACTGATGTCACGATTCCCATATGTTTCCATCGGGTTTCCAAATTTGGGAAACCTGGCTTTTCATCCTGTGTCAAATAATTTAGAAAATGTAGGTTCTTGCACTATTTCAAACATAAGAAGTGGAAAATTTGCAGATTTTCTGTCATAACCATATTGTGACTTACAAGAACTAGTCAATATTAATTGAAATGCAGAATTACCAGTACTAGTAGAGGTTTCCATTTCTATTTATAGCAATAAACATCAACAAAAACATACCCCTCAGCATATAAGGAACCAGAAGTCTCTGACGAGACTGTAGCTCTACTGGTATTTATTTAACAAAGGAAGAGAAAAGTAGCTAGCACTTGGACTTGACAGTAAATAAAAAAAATATATCCTTATTTAGCTTCTTTTTGTGTCAAGATTGCAGTTGGTCAAAAACTGTAATAGGAGTAGCTTTTGAAAGAATTGACGAAATTTCCTTTTTTATTTTTTTTGGTTACCATGACAACACTGTTATCTAAAACTAAAATCTAATGTGCAGGATTATGTGTCTTCTTGGAATCAGATCAAAGCAGTAGAAGAGGCTTCCTGATAGAATTTGACAGGAATTTTTAATTTTAGTCACCATTTCAACGCCATTCATCAAAACCAAAAACTGATAAGCAGAGTGATGTATCTCAGTGTAGTCTACTTGTATATAATTTAATTTTGGTTTTTACTCGTCATTTGATTGGATAAAAAATTAGTTTATACTATATAACCTGTGTTGCCTAGGTTACACTGACTTAAGTCAAAAACGTATCGATCCGCTTGATGTTACATTTTAATTATGTACAATTTGAAGGAGAAATTGTTATTTTTTCACACTTAGTGCCCGCTGAAATATGGCTAAAATAATAATGCCTTGGCATTAAACAGTAATCAATCAATCAATTACACTTGGTGAAGGAATATTAAATAATAAGGATTGAATTTAATAGCTACCCAGTATTAAAAGTAAGTCCCAATAAAGCTAAAAATGACAATCTTACACCAATTAGAAAATTCGTAGAATTTTTTTTTTTTACAGTTCTACCAATCTCCACTATATTTCACACATTATTGAGAATGGGTTCTCCAGTCTTTTTATAGAAATATGTCTAAAATAGACATATTGTGATTTTTTGAAAGATGAAGATGCTCAGTATTTTAGACATTATGGATGGAAAATCTGCAGACTGTCATAAACATCATTTGGCTTACATGTACAATTATAAGTCACAGTTAATTGAAATAATTCAATAAACAAAAATAATTTACAAACATTTACCAATATCTTTAAAAAAAAATTAAGTATGGTCCTTCATGCATATATTTCCATTGTATCATTTTTAGTGTTTGGTGGCAAAATTAACAAGAGGTCCAAGAGCTTTGAATCGCTCTTCTGATAAACTGTACAACCTATCACTTCTATTTGAAGCCTCTAAGTATCCTGTATATTTAGATAAAGTCTTGAAATTCCAAATCGTCATCTTGACCTACATTTTAGATGAAACACTCTGAGAACCCAAGATGATTCTAAGCCCATTAGTATCCGAAATATTGAATTATAGTCATATAAATTGAAAAGTAGGTCACGGTGACTTACTTTTCAGTCAATTTACTCCGAGGACCCAAGATGCATCAACTGACAAAGTTTGATGATGCTAACCCAATTAGTACCCGAAATATTTAATTAGAGTGATATAAATTGAAAAGTAGGTCATGGTGCCCTACTTTTCAGCTGACGTTTTTCGAGGACCCAAGATGCATCAACTTACAAAGTTTTATGATCATAGGCCTTAAAATGTCCAAATTATGCCTCTAAAACGCTTTGAAATCGAATGCCTGCAAAGTTCAAAAAGTAGGTCACTGTGACCTACTTTTTAATAAATATGTTTTATGGCCCCAAGATGCATCATCTTACAAGATTTAATGATTCTAAACCTCTCAGTATTCGAATTAATGACCTTAATTGTTTTAAAAAAGATTAGCCATAAAATTCAAAAAGTAGCTCAAGGTGACCTACTTTTTAGTCAACGTACTCCGAGGACCCAAGATACATCAACTGACAAGTTTGATGATCATAGGCCTTAAATTGTTCAAAATATGCCTCTAAATCATTTTGAAAAAGAATGGCTGCAAAATTTAAAAAGTAGGTCACCGTGATTTACTTTTGAGTCAACATGATATGAGGTCCTCAGATGCATCAACTGACAAGATTTGATGATCCTAGTTCTTAAAATAAACAAAATATCAACATTATAATATAATGTAATTTTTGGCCAACTTTGAAGAGACCTTGAGACCATGCCCTTTGCCCCAGGGTGATTTCCCGTGCAAATTTTAATCTACAACATATCCTTATCCTTTTGTGTAAGTTGGTGATAATCTGCCCAGTGGTTTTTGAGAAGAAGATTTTTTAACATTCAGTACTTTTGTTTCTATTTTCCTAATTATCTCCCCTTTTTTAAGGGTCACAACCCTAGTTTTAGTAAAAATGGGAGTTGTTGGGCCAAGGATACCCTGTAACAAATTTGACAATAATTGGCCAAGGGGTTCTTGAGTTATGGCCCATATTCTATAAAGCTTACACACATCGCACAAATGGCCATAGCATTAGCTCTTTGAGCCTTTGGCTCAGAAGAGCTAAAAATGGAAACCTCCACCGATTATTCTACTTTTCAGTTAATGCTGTGTTTTTCTTGTCGAATACATAACCTTTTTAACAATAAGTCTGCAGATTTCCCATCCCTCATGTGAGAAATAGTGCAAAATTCTACATTTCGTCTATAATATGATTTTTAAAACATTTGTTACTATAAATAGAAATGGAAACCTCCACTGAATGTACTGCATTTCAGTTAATGCTGTCTCGCTCTTTTCAGTCGCCTTATGTTAACAACAGAAAATAAGAGTTAGTCTGCAAATTGTCCATCCCTAATGTGAGAAACAGTGCAAAATTCTACATTTCTTTAATAATTTGCAGTATGTCTATTTTTAAACATTTGTTACTATAAATAGAAATGGAAACCTCCGCTTATTATTCTGCATTTCAGTTAATGCTTTCTTGTACTTGTTGTTCCCCTTATGTTATTAACAATTAATAGCAGTTTGTCTGCAAATTGTCCATCCCTAATGTGAGAAAATAGTGCAAAATTCTACATTTTCTTGATAATTTTCAGAATGTCTATTTTTAAACAATTGTTACTATAAATAGAAATGGAAACCTCCGCTTATTATTCTGCATTTCAGTTAATGCTCTTCTGTACTTGTCAGTCACATTATGTCAGTTACAGTTTATGACAGTTAGTATGCAAATTGTTCATCTCTAATGTGAGAACTAGTGCAAAAAATCCACATTTCGTCATTAATTTCCCATGTGTCTAATTTTAGACATTTGTACTATTTATAGAAATGAGAGCCTATCCTCAATAATGTGTGAGTTATTGTATTATCCCATGTTCTAATTGATGAAATATTGGTGATAGCAGTATGTTTATCACTTATGTTTTAGTGGAGCTTCTAAATGATAGAAAATAGTCATTTTTACACATATTATGAGACATGTCTATTTTAAGGCATTTGAAGCTATAAATAGAAAACGGAACTCCCTTCAAATAATATGCATAGTAGTTATTGGTGTCCAGTTTCTGTCATTAACATATTGACTTTTACAGTATATTTCTTAAATACCTACCAATGGCATCTTAAACTCTGCCCAAATTTGATTTTTTAGATTTTTCTGAAATATGTCTATTTATAGATATATGTTACTAAAAATAGAATTGAGATCCCACTCCAATTTTTTCATGAGGTGACACTCCTAATTCTGAAGTATAAAACACACATAAGATTTGAAAAATTTCCGTAGACAATTTTTTTTATTTAACTTTAAAGTTCTCAAAAAATACCAAATTTCCCATTTTTCACATTTTCAGAAACAATGTCATTTTACAGGACCTTTTTCTTAGAGTGGGAATAATTCTGGAATAACCGATTATATGCCCTGTATACCTTAAAAGTTGATGTTTTCTTATGATACAATGATTTGTGTTTGAGTTTACTACATAAAGACAAAAATGCATTTACATTTCCTCAATTTTCATGTTTTTATTTGGTCAAAAAGGGCCAAAAAGGGCCAAATTCAATTGACCCGTCTCCATGGCAACCGGGTGCACGTGTGAAACTTCTAACACCATATTTCCTAGTTTTGTGCCAAGATGCACCTGTGGTGCAAATTTCATCAAAATCGGAGAGATGTCGTTTCCAAGATTTTTTGGTGCTTACAGAGAATGCATGTTAACTCCTCTCTCAATAATGTTGAGGTCAAAGAAAGGGTCAATATAAAGTTTCTGCAGACATGCATAATTAATGCCTCTTTCATGAAATATCTCTGACCAGTTAAGGTAAAAATAAAACAAATGTTTTATGTCAAAAAAAAAAATCTGATATTGTAAACGAATTATTTTCCATTCATGTTTGAAAATTATCAGAAAGGTAAATAAAGAGGACTTAACAAAAAATTCCTTAGTAATAATTAATCATTCTGCAAATGTTCTATTTTATGTTCATATAGTACTTGGAAATTGTGAATGTCCATATTTGCTTGCAATTGATTGAGACATAATTAAGGAAGCAATTTATTATCCACAGAGATGCAGATATTCGTAATGTAGAAGAGGACATTTTTAGGCAAGAGGTAAACTCGCACTTAATCGTCATAGGAAACAATAGACTGAACACATTGAGTTGTATTAGGGAATGAATTCATCTGAGCTGATCTGATAAAACTAAAATTTTGTTCTAAAATTAAAATCTCATTCATGTCAAAAATTATGGGGTTTTTCCATCACAAATGTTTTCACTAATTAACACTCTGACTCCATTATGTGATCAACATTTTTCTAAATTTAGCAACAATGGGATGAGATATTACAGAGAATTGACACGTCACTGAAGGATGATGATAGCAGTGTTGAGTTAGGTGACAAAGGACCAGTAGAGATAACATTGACTGATGCCAGGACAGGGCAGAAAACCAGTTTAGTGGAATATTTGGGACATGAAAACCTCGTTTTGGTTTTGCTCAGGCATTTTGCCTGACTTCCATGACGACAACACATCCAAAAAGTTGAAGAAGCAGAGGTATGTGATATTGAAAACTGAAAACAATAGGCTGATGTTTAAAGCTCATTTGATTATTAATTTTTCTTTTACAAAACTTTACCGATAGTTGTAAATTGTAATGGATTGATTTTAGGCTAATGAAATGTAAAAGCTTGTTAATCAAGACAGCAGGAAAACTTTATTAATTCAAACGTAGAGTTTTAGACAAAACACAAATTTTATTGAATGGAGTCTGTGCTTTTACAGATTATGTATTTAATAAAACGATTGAAAAGCAAAGTGGCTAGACTATTCCCCTAACTTTTTAAAGTGCTGTTTTATCAAGAAAGACATAGTAAGAAAGCAAACTTAATACATTTCTATTGCAATTTCCCATACATTCCTATACTATGGCAAATTGTTTAAATTCTCTGACATTTAATGCATGTATATCAAATTTTGATTGTAAAAAATGTAAGAATATAAAAGCCAGATTGTAAAAAAGTATCTTTCATCGATGTTCAATGCAAACAGCGGCTTTAATTGAGCTTATCCTCCTGTTGTTAACTTCACAATCAGACCAAGTGTTGTCGAGGTTTGGGTTGGTTTTTCATTATTTTCACATAAAAACCATCCTGGGGGTAGACCTTCTCGAAGCCAAAACTTTGCTAAAACAATCTCTGTTTTAGAAAACCTTTTCTATAGATACAACCAAACGTATTCAAGAGTTGCCTGCTATGGAGGGCATCTTGACAAAAATACTGCTGAAAATAAGCCCTTATTTGATATAATCACGAGTCAGTCACTTTGAAGTAGTTACATATTTTATGCGTTATTCATTGTAAAAAATAGACTGACTTGAATTTTTTTTTGGCATTTTGTCATTATATTTTCTGGTTTTTCAAATAGTTCTTTGACTATTACCCCAAAAGTTTCTTGTTGTATTTAATAAATTCACCAGAGGTTTTAAAGAAAGAGCGATTACTTCTAGGATGAAATATCCAGATCAGGTGGTCGTGTTTTGGTGGTTTCTTTTTGGGAACAGAAGGGAGCACAGCAGTGGTTGTTGGAGACAAATTGTCCATTTCCTTTGCTTCTGGATCCTCAGAGAAAGGTAAATTAGGATTAAATTATTAAAATCATATAAAAACATAATGAGATCGATTTGAATTATTATGGTTGTGCTTAGAATTAATTTCAAAATTTTCAAAATATTTTTAGGTGTACAGTGCTTTTGGTCTCCATCGTTCTGTGTATAAGGTTGGTAACCCATGTGACCAAGTATTAGCAGTTGTTAGCACAGTAAACATAATGTAGGCTTAAAAATCATGTTAGAAACGTTTTTTAAGTCAAAATAAGGACACATCTCCTATCAATTGCAGCTGATGGCATTGGTACAATTTAGAATAAAAGGAGGTGTAAAATGCAACTTTAGGTTCACAGTTTTAACAAATAAACAAATAACGTGTAGGGTTTGATTAAAGTTAAGTTACTACATGTACTACATGTACGATACATTATAATTTGGTATTATTATGTAATCATCCTTCCAGGGCATGAAAGGTATTCGACGATAACATTGACTAATCAGTGCAATAAAGCACTTACGAAGTTCATTTTTCTTTTTAAAAATAGAATTTTAAAATTCAAATATTTTGAATAGAAATATTAAAAAATTAAATGGTGATTTCTCATTGCTTCCGAAAAAGATTCTGGTCTTGCAGTACTTCAGTCGGCATCAAAGTGTCGTTCAGTAGTATTTCTGATGTGATATTAATTTTATCTAACGCATATTATGAATGAAAATTTTTTGACAGAAGATGGCGTTATGAAAGTAATTTAGTGATTTGCCCCAAGAAGAACGTAAAATTTGGATGTAGTCTTTTGGCTATGAAATACTGCACACAGACAACCCTAAAGATACATGTATGAAAGCGCTGCTGTAAACTATTGTACAAGAAGAAAATGTAAACTAGAGTAAAATAGTATTTCCTTTTAGGTTTGGGGGATAGAGGAAATGATTTACTATGCAGAATCTATGGCTAAGAATATTCCTCTACCTCAACCTTCCAAATACATCCATGACGACCCTCAACAGGTAATTATAAGGATCCACTAAATTTCAAGTCTTTCGAAGCAGTTTTTATTATTGAAACCAAGTTGTACAAAGAAATTCATATTTAGTGAATTAGGACGGATAATAGATAATAAAAAGGAGCTATTAAGTTAATTACACCAAGACATACTGTGTATCGTTTTTAATTTTGATAAACGGTGCTGCCTTGATTACTAAAAGTAGACATTTTTTGTGGGAGTTATGGGTGTATAGATTACACAGACGTGTTATCAAATAAAATGTGAATTAAAAAAGAATTCAGAGCAACTTTTCTCTTCTACTATTATAAGTAAAACCAAAAGAGTAACAGTATCATCAGAGACTTCTGGGTGATTAACTAAAGATTGATTTTTTAATGTAAATTGCAAATTTCGAGTCGACTAAATTTATGCCCTTTTTCGCCTGTGCGATTAAGCACGGTTTGACGCGGTGTCTGTGTAGGATTCAGTGTTTACGCATAAGCCTTCTAGTCGGCTTGAGTACGGGAATGACGGATTGTTGCGGTTTGACACAGATTTGCTTTGCGGAAACACTCGGTTCAGATTACAACGGAGTGGAGACGTTGTTTATGGACTGACTACGGAGTCATTATGGAGAAAAGCATATACAGAACGATTATATGCGTTGTCTATACGGACTGTCACGGTACCAGTAAGTAAGGGAGTATCAGTAAGGGAGTTTCTGGCAGTAAGCTGACGGAAAAATTACGGTGTTTATAGGCCGCTGCGGAGTGTACGGTATCAATACTCTTTACAACCTTCCACAGGTAACCGCTGAAAATATTAAATGTTTATTTTTTGTGCGGTGATCGTTGATCGTATGGATCTTCACGGACCCCTAAGGATCAATTTGCGGTCTCTCGGTTCCATGCGATTCGAACACTGCATCAAACTGCAAAGGTAACTGCATCAAACCGCAAAGCAAACCGCATAGGTGAGAGCAAGGTAAACCCTGTCTCGTGCTACCTAGCATAGATTTGTTTTCTTCATAGATGGGTGGAGATTTCATAATTGACAAAGATGGCACAGTACGTTTCATTTACTGCAGCAAGAAATCTATCGACAGACCTGCTGTGACAGACCTTCTGGACCAATTAAATGTAAGACATTGTTTTCAGAATTGTATGAAAATAGCATCCACAACCTCCAAATCCTCCTTAAGGACTAATGACCCTCTGCTCCAAATTTCACGATTTTTTTTAAAACTTCCCAACATTGATTTTCATCAAGATCTATAGCATCAAAATCAAATGAAAAATAGTATGAGGTATGAAGCGCTGCTTATTTTTTCAGAAATGATTTTTATGTCAGATCATAATATGAAGAAATTTTAACACAGAGATTAGGAAGAGTAATAATTTATTATCACAACATAAAATTAGAAATATGCGGTGTATATGAAAATAATATTTAGTATCATACCTACTAAATTCATATTAGAAATCATAATGAAGCGCTGCTTCCTAAGTCAGAATATCACAATGTTATATGTGGTTGTAAGAAAACAATACATCTGTTAGCAAGAGTTATCTTTCTTACAAATATTTTTTCATTGGAAAAAAAAAATGTAATACTAATAAAAAATTGTACATTTGGTGCTTGATACATTAAACCATTTTTAAAATGATCATTAAAAAGATAGAACTTATTCAATTTTTAAGGGTTTTAAAACTGGATTTAAAAGTTTTTTTTGTCAAACATAATAAAACAATTTAAAAAGTACAGTCAAAGGAAATATAAGGTAATGTTTCCATCATATGTTAAGTTTGATCGAATTGACTGCTCAAAGGTCTCGATAGTTAAACTCTGGTAAAGTAAACTATGAGTAAATACTAGCATATTTTACTTGGAAAGTTATCTCTCTTATCAGAGGGTCGGTCCCCCTTAAGTAAGTAACAAATAAAAGCTTAGCCAAAAAAGCATATTCAGAGATTGTGGTCCCTCGCTTTTGGTCTCATTGGTTGGGGTGCAATGATTTGTGGCATATATGATATTGTAGCTGTCATGTCTGCCTGGCTTATCTATCCATCACGCTAAAAATATTTTTCTATTATGGAAGCAATATGTTCTGGTGCATCAGGAGGTCAAAAAACCATAGTGCATTTGGAGAGATCTTGTCATAAGTAATGCACAAGTCAAAAATGAAAAATAATGAAAGCCCCATTTTATTTTTTTTTAAATATGACATTCTGAAAAAATCTTGTCACAGATAATTTCATATGAAATGTGAGAGCCCTATCTGTTCTCATTCAAAAGTTATTATTAACGTTAAAATGTAGTCAACTTCAAGGTCAAAGTCACAGGGTAAAATATTTGGTATATTCAGAGAGGTCTTATCACAGGCAATGCACAAATGAAATATGAAATCATGTAGCAATATACCCTTATCACCTGCATATGGGATTTATGTCTCTCAGTTGATTCGATACGCAAGAGCATGCTCTACGTATATGAACATTTTCTAAAACGAGGCAAGCTATTGACAAACAAGTTGACAAAACAAAGATATCAACAGTCTCGTTTGAAGTCATCTTTTTGCAAGTTTTTCGGTCGATACAATGACCTTGTCAGCACATACAACCTGTCATTGAGTCAAATGCTGACTGACGTTTTTCATACTGATTGTTAGGCCATTATTTATACACAGAACTGTCTACGTATATTTCCGGTTTTTATTTTCCGATCATGACAAAGAGCACACGGCGGGTGTGACCGGTCGGCAGGGGATGCTCACTCCTCCATGGCACCTGATCGCACCCCTAACTTTTGAGGTCCATGTTTGCTCTGCTCCAAATTCGTGTCGTTTCATTGGACTTTCGAGATTAAATACTGTTCGTTATCTTCTGTTTCATCCCCACCTTTTCTCATTCAGAAGTTATGATCAAGGTTAGTTTTTATGACAGACAGAGGAATGAGAATTAATTTTCTAGCCTTTCGTGAAAGCATGATACAACTGTACAATAAACACTGAAATAATTTATATTAGTGGACAACATGGGAGTGGCAGAAAAAAATGTTTGATAAATACTTCTCTTGCCCCATCCTTTTAATTTCTTATTTACTTCTACTTGTCATCGCAAACTTCCTATGTAGTTTGATGCCTATCAAACTAGAATATGCATATACATGAACAAAACTTGCTGATGTAGCTGAAATCATGTTGAAAACCTGCTGACCTGAAGTTAATAGGAGTAGTCAGAATCGTCAGATTATTATAGCTACCCTGCGTAAAAACTGGACGAAATCTAAGTGTAATCCTGACATTAGCCTTCATTTAAAATATATAAAAGATAGTGTCTAAACCTAGTTGTTAATCAACGTTTGTTAGATCAAACAGTTTGAGTTTCTGTAACATTCACTGTAATGAAATCTAACGTTTCTCTATTACACTGCTTTCAGAAACTCCAGTGAAGATATATTTCCGGTGTAATGACAGACTAAGCCTAAAACACATTGTGAAGGTTTTGTCTTGATATTGATGCTGGATACTTCTCACAGTGAAAAAACATACATTCCGTTTTATGATATTAATATAAACATGTACATTCTATTCTGTTGATTTTTCATATTTTTTTGTTGTAATTACACAATTAATTTTTTTTATTATTCCTGTCCTTTTTGTGCAATCTACATGTATTTGTTCGATTTATTAATCAATGAAATAAATTTGTTATTAATTAAAAAAAATCATTTTTCTCCGACATGATATTTAGTCAAATAAAAGTCTTAGTACCCTTTTAGGAGCTTTCAGCTAGGTTTTGAATATTTATCAGTTTAGACTGGCTATAATCTAAGAAAGTTAGAAATGAACTAAATGAAAATAATTGAAGTGTATGATAAAGGTCAAGTCTGACAAAATGAATTCGGAAAATAAAAAGCTATATGTCGGTGCAATTGATTTTAAGAAAACAAAATTGGCATATCACAGTCCTTTAATGTTTTATTAATATACTCATAGCTACAGAACTGTAGCGTTATGGTCAAAGAATAAAATTTAAAAGCATAATGCTACAGTTCTGCAGATACTTGATATTATGATCATTTTCTGTCTTAAGCCTGTTCTGCAATTTAAGTTAAAGCTGCTTTAGATGCATTCTTAGATTCCTTTATGTATTGCATTGAAAGGACTATATGTATAGTGCATGCATGTATATCTTTACTACAGCATAGGACAAGACGCTTTACAGAATAAACAACGTAAAATTAAGTATATAAAAAAGGCGAAGATTACGATAAGTGAACGATCTGTCTTATTCTAAATTTTGGAAGTAAATACAAAATTTAGAACTTCTATTTACTCCCACCTGATAAATTCAGAATTTAGAACATGACAGATAAAAATAAATCTACAAACAATACAAACTGTGAACAGGGCATACAGCATCGACCCAAGGAAATTCAAGAGGTAGTACCTAGGAATAAGCATCCCATGTCGACCGGTCACACCCACCCTATGTATTGATCAAGTAGATGGAATATTCCATATTCAAATGAAGTATTAAAAACAAAGACCTAACAATTGGTATGACACACATATTTTGTTGTACAATAAAAATGTAATCCGGCGTTTTAAGTTATATGTATGACCAAAATAAACAGTGAATTTATTAAAAAAAATGTTGTTGCACAATTCGCTGGGTTGAAACACTTACCAAGACAGATACAAAATAACTCGTAATGCTTTTGCGATACTAGTTCAAATGTTATTGTATAGATAAAATACACCACTCAATTATTGATTAGGAAAATGTGTGGAAATTATTAACTTCCCTACTGAAATTTGACATGTTTTGAATATTTTTTTTTAATAAAGAATACACTGTAATACGTGAAAGTAAACTTCAACAGTATTGTGCTACAACGTAATTTAGAAGTGGTGTTAATCATTTTGGATGCTAAAAACCCCAAAGAACTTTAGAAAATTTGAATCACAAAATGTTGATCAAAATCAATAACATCAAAATGCTCGACTGTTCAACACTTTACACAACCGTTCTCCACGATAAATTAAAAACTTTTTTTTACTTTTTAACATCATAGACAGCTGCTTCTTTAATAAAACTGAACATTTCATATTTTGTCATTGGTTGTCTACAGACTTACTCTGTCACCCTGATGCTACACACAAGTACAATAAATTTTATGTTAAAAAATGCTTGAGTTCAACATTGACATTGTATGTAATATACGGAGACCAAGTCTTCCAACAATCTGTTGGAATTCCCATTGGTACTTATTATGCCCTTTTAATTGCAGACCTGATGTTTAACTCTTATGAAGCAGAATTTATTCACAAACTTGAACATGAAAAGAAGTCTATTGCTGTGGCCTTCAATATGATATTTAAGGACAGATTGTACAAACAAAAGCATGGATGTATAGATGTATTTTTGGACCTACTTTAGTTGTAAAAAATGCAAATATCAAATTTCTAAAATATCAAGAACTTGTCAATGTAGTAGTATACCATTATTACCTGAATATGGATGTGATTTTAATGTATCCCAATGGAATCTATATGAAGAGCATGTTCTTCGTACGAACACTTTTAAGACCAAGGCAGGCTTCTCAACATTTGGTATATAATGACCTGGTTTGCAAATTAGGTCGAATGCTAACTGGAGTTTTTAAATAGAAATTGTTAAACCATTATTGTCATACTGAATTGACTACGGATAACATGTACTTCGTTTACCTGATAAGAAAAAGGGCTCACGGCGGGTATGACCGGACAGGGGATACTTTTTCCTCCATGGCACCTGATCCCACCTCTGATGTTTTTAGGGGTTAGTGTTTGCTGTGCTCTAAATTTGTCTTGTTTAATGGGACTTTTAAGAAAAGCATGATTACTAATCGATATCTCCACATTTCATTATCTTTTACATAGCAATAAAAATATATTAATTTCAACTGACTTGATGATAAAAGATTGGACATAAAGCATATACCAGGCATTTTTTTTTTTTTTTTTTGTTTTTTGTTTTTTGTTTTTTGGCAAAGGAATGATTTTATATTGATAAAATTGGACAAAGTCATGTACACTGATACCCCTACGAGGTTAATAGTATAACTCAAGTTTACATGACCTACTACTTGAAAACCTTTACCTTGTATTCTCAATAAGGGTAGCGATAGCATCGATTCTGGACTCTGAAAATATTACAATCCGTCATTGCTACCATCTTTTCATATGATGCTTTATAAGATATGTAATATATGTAAAAATTATGTAAGAATGTAAATATGAACGCTTTCAAATTATGTGTTCTGCAGGGCTAATATTGTGCAGATGCCGAAGACTTCAATTTAAAATGATCATACATCTAACAATAATTTTAAGAAATGTGAAAATCATTTTGAGGATCCATTATTTCGTTAAAATGGGGGATATACAATTCATTTCTATATAAATGTTATTAAAACAGAATAGGAATTCTTTGTTTTATATACAGTGTAACTGTTTTTTATCTGAATAGCAAAATTTGTTTAAAAAAAAATATTACGAAAAACTGTATTTTAATTTGGCAAAATCCTATTTTTGCTATTCTAGTAGTGGTCTGTTAGAGTTATCTTAGTAATCTATAGGGTGCACAATTGGTGAGACTTTTATACTACATTTTTGCGATCTAAAATTGTTCGCAAAGTGAATATCAACATTATCGCAAAAAAAAGTTATACTGTATTCTTCTTCCAAATTATAACAAACTATAAAAGATATAAAAGAATAGATTCATAGCTTTTTCTTACATCGAATTTGCAGAAATATGGATCTGCCCACATTAAAAGTTATATATTTAATGTTGTATTTGATAATGCTTACTAGTACAGATGTATACAATACTATTTGGGTAGTAACTATGATTTGTTTCTTGTCATGTTTTGTTTGTGTTTGTTTGTTTGTTTTTGTTTTTTTTTATTTTTTGCATTTTCCTATTACTAAATGAGCTAACTGTGCTAGAAGTAAACTAGAAAAATGACTAGTAACTTTTATTGACATATTGAGCTTCCCTAGTATATAGTAAAGAAAAGGATAAATATTAATATTTTTATACAGGTCACGTGATTCAATCACATGCAACATTGCTATCTCCTTCCGACATCGTGCGTTGATCATAATATTTCGAATATCGTCAACTTCTATGAAATGACTGAACCAATTTAGGTAAATTACATATGGGTTCTCTGCTTCCCTTTTGACTGAGAGGTGTGGGAAGATATGAAAAGTATTGAAATCTTCAAAATTAATATTCTTTACTAATGGACATCAAGCAGTCAAACTGCTGGTAGTTTTATTAGTAAACACTGTGAAATTCATGACCCTAGCGTGTAAACCACCAGGGTGAGGGTAATTTGTTAACTATTGAAAATCTTTTTTACCCCTTCCCAACAAGGAGGCAAAATATTTGCGAGATTTTACCAATATTTTAAAATTCATTGCCCCTGGATTCAGGATTCGCACCCCAAGGTGGAACTTTTTGGTAATATGTTGAAAATGCAGTACATCGTCTTTCTCATGGACATTAATTGTACAAACTCCATGATTAAAAAAGAGCATTGAGCTCCCTACAAAAAACGAAAATTTACTTCCCCTAGGTTCGGGCTTTGGATGATTTTGTCATACATTAAACAACGTTACACTGAAAAATCTGTTTTTTTTTTCTTTTTTCCTAGACATCAAGCAGGTGAACTGTTAAGGGTTTGTATAATAAATAACACTTATCCCTTTCCCAAATTTGCAAAATTCATGGATTCAGGATTGGGGAAATTTGGTCATGTATTAAACGTTATCACACTTTCACATCTTCGGAATTTTTTTCTTATGGAACTTTAGCAGAGAAGCTCTTTATATGAATATAATAAGCACTAATAGCACTTCACCAAAACTGAGAATTTCATGGCATGGGTCCATGGTTCAGGCGCCAGGTGGGTTTGAGATGGTCTTTTAGCTTGGCATTTACAAGATTGTGAAATTCATGTTCCCTTGGTCCAAAATTAAGATCCCAGTGTATGTTTTAATTTGACATATATTGAATTATTGTGCAATTTACCTTTTATCCCTCGACATTTATAGTGACAATAAGTCATTTACCCTTTACAAATTTGCGAATGTGTGCCCCAAGAGCTCAGACACAAAGCAGTGGCTAAGTTGATAATATATTATAATTGTAAAATAATGCAATTCATCTTTGAAAACTTTTTTTTAACTCCTTATCGTTAAGAAACAAGCGTTATGAATATGATTCCTCATCAAAGTGTAAAATTCGTAGCAAACGAGTTCAGAGATCCAATTTCAGGTGAGGCTAAGTTAGCCATAAAGTGCAACAATATATTCGAGAAGTAGTGTAAATCAGATGTGGATACTTATAAATTCCAAGGAAATTTTGGAAAATTTGAAATAACAAGATTTTACCAAAATTAACAGCTTAAAAACTTACGACTTTTCAACTTTATACACAACCATTCCCCACGATAAGTTAAAGTCCAGGCTGTTTTTCAATAAAAATGGAACCCGTTAATTTACTTACCTTGTCATTGGTCATTTGCAAAATTATTTTGTTAAAAAACATTCTGATTGTACAACAAGTACTCTGAAGTTGGCATTAAAAAGATGCTTGAGTTTCTGATTGACAATATCTATGTGGTTTTTGGAGGCCAGGT